TGGGTGCAGCCCGAGCTGCCGTGCGCCCCGGCGTCTTTGTGCGCGAGCCTTGCTCAACCCCTCTTCGCATGTCTTTGTGTGTCTCCCCCGGCAATGCCCTCCGTGCCCCGCGGGGGGTGTGTGGCACGGTCCGGGCGCCCGCAGCTCTGCAGCCCTCCGCAGCTCTGCAGCCCTCCGCTGTTCTCCCTTCCCGGCTAGCTCCTGTCGCCCCTCGCCGACTCGTTTCCCTCCTTTAGGAACTCCCTCCTCTTCGCCTCCTCCCCCTCCTGTCTCACCGCCAGGGCTTGCTTCCCCGCACCTCCTCCTAGCCCTACCCTTGCCTGCGTCGCCCCTGCAAGATGCTCCCTTCTAAAGACCCCCTCTTCCCTCCTCCTAGGGGCACAACCCCTTGGCTCACCTGCTGCCTCTTCCCCTCTCAGCCCCTTCCACTAACCCCCATCCCCACCCCCCAAAAAATCCTCACTCTCGCTATCTGGCATCCACATCACACTGCGCTTCATCCTATCTCCTTCCCGGCCAGCGTTCGGGGTGTGGGACCGAGTGTGGGTCCAAGCTCTGGGACGCAAGTCCTTGAACCCCTGCATTTGGGGGTTCTCCTCGCCCTCGTGGCCCCCCAGACTTGTACAGGGAAGTGTCCCCATTGGCGCCTTGAGGTAATGAAGACCCTGGCTTCTTCCACCTTGGGGAAGGGTTAAGGAGTCACCAGGTCGCCCCACTTCACCTCTGGCGGTGCTGGACTTAAGCAGGGCGCTATAATCAGCAGAACGCCCCGGACCGAAAAGGATGGGGAACGCACCTGGAGCCAGGGCGAAGACACCTCGAGATGCAAAGGGAATGGAAGAAAACCCGGTTAGGTTCTCTCAGAGCAAGACCCCTTTGCTGGAGACATAGGTTTCTAAGCGTGGCGGGTGGGAGCTGCAAGGTGGGAGAACTCCGACCCCAGCCTGAACTCAGCGCTACCAGACCTCTTCCCCATCAAGATCCCTATTTGGCAGGTACCAGACCCCGCCCAAACTCCAAGACCCCGGCGCAGGGACAGCCAAACTCTAGGCGACAGGGGGACGGAACGGAACCCGCCAAGGAGGGAAAGAAAGCCAGGAGATCAGACGTTGCCGTCGTCGTAATAGGCGAATTCTCTCACAACACACGTGATGTAGCGGAACTTCGATCCGTTTCTAAACTCTCTTCCTTCCCACTTTCTCAGCGGGAATCCCCTGATGACCTCCACCCTCCCACCGCAACTGCTGTTTGCGAGTTTTTCTTCCATGACTGCTGCTCGGCCAGATTGGAGTATTTTCCCAGTTACAAGAACTTCTTAGTGAAAAATACAGACGTAATTGTAGGAAACAAAAACAAACAAACAAACAAAAAAAAGCTTTTGCAAAACTGTTACCGTCAATGATAAAAATGCAATTTTTTCTAGATTCCAGAATACATTCAGCACCTCTTTCCCCATTA